GAGACAGAGACAGGTCCGGGACAGGCCGGAGAACGAGGCTGGGGGTCGGCTGATCGCTCTCCAGGAGAGGGACAGGCCGCGGAAGGGGTGGGGACAGGTCGCGTGGGGGTCACAGCTGCCACCACCTCTAGCGGTCACAGTCTGACTCTGCTTGGCCCGCGCTGCCCACACCCATGCCCAGCTCCGGGCTGCAGCGTGAGCTACCCCAGGGGCTCCCAAGACCCCTCCTTGAGAGGCAGAACCTGCCTCCAGTGGGCCCACCTGCCAGAGGGCGCCACATCGATTCCCCCTAAAAGGCTCTGTGCTCACTGCCCAGGTCAGGGCGACCCTCTTGCTGTGTGACTTTGGGCAAGTTCCTTCACCTCTCTGAGCACCCCCTATCTCCATGTAGGGTCAAATACCCCATTTCCAGGAGCAATCACCCCTGGAAAGCACCTAGCCAGGGAAGTGGACCTTGCAGGCCCCTCTCTGCCCCACCCCCAGCTGGCCCTGCCACGCCCAGAACCCAGCACCCAGCACCCACTGCTTGAGCCCGGGGGGTTGGGGGGGAGAGCCATCCCTCTGACAGCACACACCGCTGTTCCTCAGCGCAGACAGAACTAATAATTAGCTGTCACGATTTAATAATAAAATATAATAATCCATGCCACCACACACATGGATTTAACTAATCTTAATTTGGAGAGAAAATAACAAACTCTAAATATAACAAATGCAAGTTTTCCGGCGGCCCGCAAGCCGGGTTTATCTCCCATTTCCAGCAGCCAGTAACTCGGGGTCTCCCACTGGCCACGCTCACCCCACCCCCCTTCTCCAGCCCTCTCTCTCTCTCTCTGTCCCTTGTTGTCTCTCTCCCTCTCTCCCTTGTTCTCTCTCTCTCTCTCCCCCCCCCCCTCGTTCTCTCTCTTGCTCTCTTGCTTTCTCGTGCTCTCTGTCTCTCCCTCTTTTCCACATCTATTTTATTTATTCTGGAAAGCCAGGAGTGAGTGTTTTCAGGGCAGCGTGTAAAGCCCTCAGCTGACCCCCAGCACGCCTGGCGCACAGACGGGGTGCAGGGTGCAGGGTGCCAGGCGTGGGGTGGGGGGCCTGGGGCATGCACTCAGCCCTGACAGCGCCCTGGGGGCTGCCTCCCTCCACCAGGCCGCTCCAGGGTTTCCAGGCTGCAGAGGACGGCGGGTGGCGTGGGCAGGGTGCCACGGGAGGGACCTGCCTGGCACCGCCGGGCCCAGGGCCTGTGCCAGGTTCTGTCACTGCTGTCTCCCGAGAGTGACACCTGGGACTGACAGAGCTTCCCACCCCCACGCCCAAGCCAAGCCGGGTACCAGGGCGTCCTCTGCCATGGCATGAGCAGGGAGGGCGGCACTGAGCACCCGGGGAGTGACTAGGGAAGCCCGGCATTCTAGAAGCTTCACTTCTCAGTGTCCCCGACAAGGTCCAGGGGACCCTCTTCAACTTCTTCCATACACAACACACAAGAGTGGGTGCAGGGGAGGCCCCTGGCTTGCCTGGGGAGGGCAGGAAGGTCCCCTGCAACCCCAGTGCCCTGGGGGGGGGTGGGGGGCTGCCCGCTGAGGCCAGCAGCATCACAGATGGGCACACGCTGCCCGCTCCTGGGCCAGAAGCGTTTCTCCCTGTTCCAGGGAGGCCTTGGAACCAGCACAGTGCCCGAGGACCACGTCACTTCCAGGGCCAGCCATGGGACCGGCCCTCCAGACCCCTCCTCATCTCCCCAGCACCCCACGTCCAGGGGGACATGGACTCCTGCTTCTTACCAGCCCAGCTCCTCTGTCTCCCGAGCCGGAGGGCACCCACCTCGTCCCCGGGACCCCGCACTGCAGGAGCACCCCCCAACAGAGGCAGGGAGCACCTGGAGAATGTGCAAACGTCGGAGCTGAGCCCACCCACTGCCAGGCCCTCCCGCCCTCTGTCTCTGGGGTATAGACCCCACCTGGGTCTGCCCAGAATGCATGATTGGGGGAGGCCTCAGTACCCCCACACCTGCCTTGGCCACATCCCCACGTCCCCACCCTCCCACTGTGCCCCTGACACTGGCAGGGGGCTGTCACCCCAGGCCAGATGAGGGCCCTGGGGAGAAAAAGGCAGGAGGGGTCGATTGGTGAATGAATGAATGAATGACTGCATCAGACAGCCCCCTCTTCCACTCCACTTCTCCATCACTTAAATTGAAAGGGTAGCCCTTCCTTTTAAACCCATGTCCAGGACCCAAGAGGTCGTACAGGGGTGAGACACTTGCCTTGCACGTGGCCAACCTGGGTTTGATCCCCGGCACCCCATAAGGCCCTCACCGAGCCCCGCCGGAAGCGATTCCTGAGCACAGAGCCATGAGTCAGCCCTGAGCACAGCTAGGTGTGACCCAAAACACAGAAACAGAATATTCAAGCAGTGTCCAAAACGCCCACTGCCAGGGACAGGGACAGGCCAGCCCCAAGCCCAGGGTGAGGACTGGCAGAATTCCAACTCCCCTGGGGTGCTCAGGAGGACGTGGGGGGCCCCTTTGTCCATGCACTGCCTGGCCCCAACCCATCCTGCTTCGTCCATCGCAGCTGGAGGCAGGAGGCGCGAGGCCCCTCGCCTGGAAGGTCCCAGAATGCACCGGGATTAGCAGGGCTGCTGCCCACTGGGAGGTAGGAGTCAGCGGCCCGGACAGCCGCCGTGGCCAGCCTGGGAGCCTGGGCAGGCACACGCCAGGGCTTCCAGTCCCGCTCTTAAACATAAAGACTCAATTATCTTTAAGCAGCTTGCTTTACACATGAATTGACACATTTATTTTACAATAAATAACTGAAAGTTATCTGTGTTTCCTTTACTGTTAATCTACACAGAGAAATAATAAACAGGACTTGTCTACAAAAATGCAACTATGGCGCCCTCAGAATTCAATTAAGCTAAAATAATTAATGCACCCACCATATTAAATTACTTCATACACTGGAGCCACTGAAGTTTTTTGTCTTTAATCTTTCCTTTTTATATTAAATAAAGGGAAGGAAGAAAAGAAAGAAAGAAAGAAAGAAAGAAAGAAAGAAAGAGGAAGTTGGTGCCAAAGAAGAGGGGAAGGAAAGTGAGGCAGATAGAGGAAGAACCCCCATGATAAAACGGACCCCCATGATAAAACGGGTCCCATTCAGCGGACACCGTGTACCCTATTTTGTGCGTCTGATTAAAATAAGTGTAAGTGCTTTGAACCGACCTATCTCTTTAAACTTCTGAGCAGTATTTTACATATTTCTTCTAGAATGAAGAAATCCTTTCGACCCGTTGTAGAACAGAGAAGGCCAGGAATATCCTCGTCACACATCAGATAAAAATACTGTAGGCTGCTGCATTGCCAACGCCCCCCCCCGCCCCGACAGGGGTGCGGGTGCAGGTCTGGGGGGCGGTGGGGAGACGGACTTGGCCTTTTCTGAGAGCACGGGCATCTCTCTGACGGCCCCGACCCCCGGTCTCTCTCGGAGGGGGGTGCCCTCACACACATCTTGAGAAACGCCGGTGCCGGGACAGGGAGGAAAGTCAGAAGTGTAAACCAAGGCCCAGCCTCCTTGGCAGAAGCCAGCCCCACTGAGCCAGGCCTGCAGACGCCAGGCCCACGCTCTGCCCAGCACTGGTCCGAGGAGAGAGACCAGGGGACCCCAGCACCAGAGAGAAAGGGGCTGTTCCCAGTGGGGGCCTCACTCATCGGCCCACCTCAGACGCGCGACGCCCTCATGCCCAAGGCTTCCCGTGACGTGACCGAAGGGTCACCTGGGCCGGTGTCAGCAGATCCCAGGCACAGCTAAGCACGGGGGAGGCCCAGAGGCCTTTCACGCATCTTCCAGGGGGACCCACTGTCCCCAAGATCCACCTTTCCCATGAAGACCATGGACCAGCCCAGTTCCACCACGAGGCCCCTCTTGGCTTGGGGACCTGCCCCCCGCAGCCGCTCTCGGCCCTTGTCCCCATTTCACAGGTGGGCAGCATGAGGGAACCTCGCACTGTTCAGAGCCGCCCAGTCCTCTGCCTCAGCCCTGCTGACCACCTCCCGGGGCAGCGGGCATCCTCCCAGAGGGACAGGGGTCTGAGAGGCCAGGCCCACCCAGCAAACAGCACCCAAAGCTCCATCCCACTGGGGTGCCCTGAGGCTTGCTCTCAGACCGTCCCATCCAAGCAGCCAGAGGGGTCCCTCCCTGTCCAGGGACGGCCCTCACAAAGCCCTAGTGAGCTCCAGTGCCCTTCCGCCTCCAGCCACTGGACAGCTGGAGAGACAGAGCCGGTATGCCTGACACACCTCGTCCCAAGTCAGCCGGCAGGAGGGAGCCCCGGCCTGCGAGCGTCAGGGTGGACGGAAGCAGCTGCCCAGCCCAGCCGGGCCTCAGGGTCGGAGGCTGCAGGCACAAACCCTTGGGGCGCCTCTGACCCCCACCCACCGGAGGACACTGCAGAGGACAAACACGAGTGCACGTCCAGCTAGAGGGAGCGTGTGGGTGCCCAGTGCCAGTCCAAGCGTTAAGTACCCACTGTGCGGGTGGGCACCCCAGGTACACAGCACCCCAATGCGTAGCCATCTCCCCCCCCCCCACACACACACATCCAACAGGACACAGAACCCCTGGTCTGAGGGGGGAGCCTTCACACACCCAACAGGACACAGAACCCCTGGCCTGAGCGGGGAAACTTCGCGCTATCACAGGCGGGAAACGGAGACACCAGAGCCAGCCAGAGACCCTGGCCCCGTGTGGCGCCTCACCCGGTCTCTCGACCCCATGACACGGGTGTGGCCCCCACATGCTTCAGGGGCAAGGTCAGAATCCAGACTCCTGGCCCCACAGCCAGAGACCGTGCAGAACCGCAGCTAAGCCAAGACCAACAAAAGAGCCCTCCCCTCCCCACCCGCCCCCAGATGGCCACACTCTGCTCCCGGCCAGCAGCCCAAGCCGAGCACAGACCCCCGAGCCCCCCGGGGTGGGGGAAGGGGTCAGATGGAGGCCCCACCCCACGCGTACCTGCAGAGTTCTCTTGCTTGGGGCAGATGCCTTTCGTGGGCAAGAGCAGGTGGTCATCTTCGTCGGGGGTGACCTGGATTCCGATCTCGACCGGCTCCGACACTTTCCTGAGGGAGGCGGGCGGGGGGCTGCCCTTGTCCAGGCCTTTGTCATAGCAGGAGCCCAGGGTGCTGCCACACTGCTTCTTCTTGTGCTCGATAAAGACCAGGATGTCCCCCAGCGGGAAGTTCATCTGGCACTGCCCACAGGTGAGCAGGTCAGGGTCGGGGCCGCCCATCATCAGCCCCAGGCCGCTGGGCTCTTCGATGTCCAGCCCCTCATCTTCCTCCAGGATGCTGGGCTCCACATGCTCTGGCTCTGCTGAACACAGACAGAAGGGGCGGGGGGCAGGGGAGAGAGAGACGGGCTTCAGTCACCTCAGCACCGCGGTCCAGGTACCCAGGCCCCGGTCTGCATCCGGCCCTCCCCTGGCACCCCTGCAGGCCCGGGGGGCCTGTTCTCTGCCAGGACCCCCTCCCAAATTGAGGGTCACATCCCGGGCAGCAGCAGCAGTGGCCACAGCAGCCTATCAGCACTCCCCTCTGATCTCCATCTTTCCCACGCAGCCCCCAAGACTCCACTCGAACAACAAGGAGGTCCAAACCCCAGGCTGGTGTTTGTGTTGTTTGTTTGTTTGTTTTTTTATTTGGGGCCACACCCAGTGGTGCTCAGGGCTTCCTCCTGTTTCTGTGCTCATCCAGGATTACTCCCGGCCAGTCGGCGGGGCTCAGGGGACCTTCAGGGTGCTGGGGGTGGACCCTGGGTCAGTTGTGTGCAAGGCCAGGCCCTTCCCACTGTTCTATCAGCCCCCCGTGGCTGGTTTGCTTTTATTTCCAGAGGGGCTTCCAGGGCAGGAGAACACAGACCCAGCAGGTGAGGAAGGAGCTCTGGGTCAGACCCTGGGAATGCCCCCCCCCAACCCCACCCCTCCAAAAAAAAAATTCTAGATGGAACTTCAGGGTCGCTGTGAGGAACAGAGCAGAGCGGGTTCCCCGAGGCCAGCCACACCCTTCATCACAATCATCATGCATGCCCCCAGCACCCGCCGCCCCCCCCCACCAGCCTGGCTGCACCCCGGAACAGGAGAGAAAGAAAGTCAGGCAGACCGGAACCCAGAGAGCAGAGGCAGGACGGGGGACCCACGCCCCACCCCTCACCCCCTACCCACGCCGGTGTCGGTTCCACCATCCACTCCCCACAACATCGTGTCCTTGTTTTACTTTTACTCCAACGCAAAAAAAAAAAAAAAAAAAAAGGAACAAAATAAAACAATTCCTCTGACTCGGAAAGTCTTCCTGGGCCCTCGGGTTTCATATTTCTATAGCAGCAAATATGTTTCTTTCCTTTTTTCATTCATTTATTGATTTCTTTTTGGGGGGTGGTGGAAGACCCAGGACCCAAATATTTTAAAGCTACTAATCGTCAGCCCCAGGGGGTTTGGGGTGAGGAGAGCCACCGAGACGGCCATAAATAACACAGTGCGGGTCAGGGACGCGACGGGATTTTTCCAGAACCCATGTCAGGAGGCTCGTGGAAGGCACAGAGGGGCAGGGTCACCCCGCCGCCCGACAGACACCACACCCGGAGCAGAGGGGCAGCCGGGGTGGGGGAACCCAGGAGAGACCAGGTAGCCTGGAAGCCACTGGGAAACTCGGGGAAGGGACAGAGAAGGAGGAAGACGCCTTCCGTGGCCACACAGTGACAAACAGAACCAGAGAATCGTTTAAGGAACTAGAATCCGTCGCATCTCCTCGTCCTGCTCGTAAATCCGGGTGTTTTTCAGAACCCGGGTTTCCCCAGGGCCGGCGGGAGCCCTGGTGACGGCGGGGGATCCGGCTCAGCACAGTCGGGACATGACATGGGGGTGGATTGCAGGGCCCAGCCCCGGGGGGGACGGAGCAGCCGGAGACAGCCACGGGACATGGCCATGCAGGAGGAAACCCTAACCCCCCGGCAGCCGAGGACAAACTGAGGCACCGGAAGGGCGTTCCCAAGCGGCCCCACAAACCACTCATTACTTTCTGAAAAGCCAGCCGAGTTGACTTAGAAAGGAGTCCGAGACAATGCGCCATAATTAATTTACCAATTTATTTTATGAAAAGATGCTTTCGCGCTGGTGAAAATGGAATCACACACCCCTCCCACCCCGCCGCGGTTCTGGGGTGCCGTGGGTGGGGGGCGGCGGCGGGGGGGGGGTTGGGTTGGGGAGAAGGGGAACGGGATTCCTGTCAGAATGCAAAAGGTAATTATTCGGTGCCTGTTTTCCCTTTAATGATCTAACATTGAGCAATACTGTTTATATTGAAAAGCTCGCACCTTTAATTACCAATTACATATACATAATTTCAGAGCCAAAGGAGAGGGCTGTGGAAACAGTTCTTTAGAAATATAAGGAGGTATTGTGCACCATCGCGAGGAAAGGAACACTAATATATGAAAGGAGGATGTCAAAATATTGTGTTGTTAAAAAAAAAAGAGAGAGGGAGAGAGAGAGGGAGAGAGAGAGAGGGAGAGAAAGAGAGACTCACACACACGCACACACACACACACAAAGAAAATGAACTGAAAAGCAAAGAAGTGAAATAAAAGGAGGAGAGGGAGAGAGGGAATTCGGATGGGTAGAGGTGAGGTCATCTCGGTAACGGGGACGGCTGGGGCCCCGCGCCCCTGGCAGGCCTGGGAAGGAACTCGCCAGGCCGCACCCCCACCACGGCCCACCCGGGGGGTGGAGGGTCTCTTGGTGGCAAATGTCACCCTTGCTTTCCCCTGGCCCCCTTGGGACTTCGGCTTTTCATTAACTCTCTCGCCCCGCCCGCCTCTCCCGGGTCGCTGTTCCGGGAAGCGCCCGTATCTGGTCCTTCAGGGGAGGTTTTAAGCGACATCGTTTCCAATTCATTTTCTAAGTGAAAAGAAACAGATGAGTTTTAAGAATCAGCCAAGGTCACACAGGCCTGATGGCGGGCAGGGCGTGCCCTCTCGGCCTTCCACCTTGGCTACAGACTGGGGGTGGGGGGGGCAGCTCGCAGGCACTCTCCGTCTATTTCTCTGTCTCCCTGTCTCTCTGTCTCTCTGTTTTTGTCTCTGTCTCTCTCTGTCTTCTGTCTCTCTGTCTCTGTCTGTCTCTCTGTCTGTCTCTCTGCCTCTGTCTCTCTCTCTGTCTCTGTCTCTCTCTCCCTCTCTGTCTCTCCGTCTCTCTCTGTCTCTCTGTCTCTGTCTCTCTCCCTCTCTCTCCCTCTCTCCCCCCCTCCCCTTTGTAGCATCTGGCATTCCTTCCTCTCTCTGGCATCCCCCCCGCCTGTCCTCTCCCTGCTGCTGCAGGCTCCTGTCAGTCCTGGAATCCAGACTGAAAGTAGCCAAAGCTGCCCGTGGGGGTCCCAGCCTCTGGGTGGCCGAGTCGGCCAGCAGCGGTGCCCAGTCTGGCTCCTGGGCCTTTCCCTAGACCCAGCCTGCCCACTCCCCCCTGGAAGGAGAGGAGGAGGAGGGGAAGGGGAAGGAGGAGGAGGAGGAGGAGGGGAAGGGGAAGGAGGAGGAGGAGGAGGAGGAGGAGGAGGAGGAAGAGGAGGAGGAGGAAGAGGAGGAGGAGGAGGAGGAGGAGGAGGAGCACTCCCTGCCCCCTTCTGTTGCAAGGAGCGTTGGGTGCAATGACAAGGGTGCTCCCCCAAGGCGGGGGTCCTCTCCCCACCCCAGTAGGAGGAGGAGCGGGGTTCGTACTCCAGACTCACTATCTGAAGCATTTCCCACAGAGACGGCAGCATCCCCTGGCTCACCACACACACACACACACACACACACACACACACACACACACACCCATTCCGGCAGTGGAGCCCCCCGAAGACCCACACAATCAGACTGTGGGGTCGGCGTGGTTGGTCCAAGGCAGTTTGCTGAGTCTGAGAGCTCATGCTTGGGGCCCCCAGAGACACCCAGGAGGGGCTGTGGTTTCCCTTCCGGTGGCAGGCAGATACCGAGCTGGGGGGGGGGGGGGTGCATGCGTGTATGTGTCTGTGAGCGCACACGCGTGTGTGTGTGCACGTGAGTGTGTGTGTGTGTGTGTGCACGCATGCAGGACTGCTTAGAACCGTCTGGATCATGAAAGGAAATAAAAGCTACAGCCCCTCGGGGCACCCAGGAAGGGAGACAGCACCGAAGTCTCCCTCACAGGGCCACCCTCGTGACAGGCGGAGGGTCCAAACCCTGCCCCCCACGCCCCACCTAGACAGCCCCGAAAGAGAAAGGCCTTTCAAACCCCCAGCCCAGGCCTGTCCTCCGGATGTCCCACCAGCAAACTGCTCAAGCCGGCAAGGGCGCCAGACAGGGTGGGCTACTCCCGAGACCACTCTGTCTCCCAGGGTGAGGAGGCCCGGCACAGCCCTCCGCCCAGCTGGAGCGGAGAAAAGGCTCGATGCATTCAGGGGGACACACGTGGGGGTGCCCACAGGCCACTGAGCAGGTTTCCGTCAGCACCACAGGACAGTGAACCCTGGAACATCCAAACTGCCCCCCAAAAATGTGTGCACACCCATGCGTGCTCACTCATGAGTTCTTTTTTTTTTTTTTACAAGAAAACTGCATTTTTCTATACAAGGCTGGGCCTTCTCCCTGCTGGGGAAGGCACTGAGAGGGGCCGAGGTCAGGGTACGCCAATGAATGTGGCTGCAGACCCACACGGAGGCACCTGGCCCTGGCACCAATACACACACACACACACACACACACACACATGCATGAACACAGACGCACACACACACATGCACGCACGCACACACAGATGCACATGCACACACACACGCATGTCTATGCATGAACACAGACACACGCACGCACACATGCACACATGTGCACGCACACATAGACACACACACGCACACACGTTCCAGTGGTCAGAAAGGACCTGGGGGCAAGAGCCCGGTGTGGAAGGACAGGGAGGACTCGAGCCCAGTCCCCTCATGCCACCCAAACATCTCTGACAATCGCCCACTCCCCGGGCACCCTCCCGCTCCCCCAGAGCCGAGGGACCCCACACAGGCCACGGGGCCAGGCCGTGCCTCCAGCTGCAAAGATGCAAACGCAAGTCGCAATTTGTAATAATCGCCACCATCACCGCAGCCAGGGAGAAACACCCCGAATTCTAGTTCAAGACAGGTGGAGGGAGGGGTAGCACACGGTGGGGGTGGGGGGTGGGTGCCAGGCTCTTAAACCGTGAGCCACCGACGTCACCGCTGCCACCATCATGCCGGGCTTGTTTACAACCACCGGCTCCACTTCCCCTGGAGGCTCGACACCTGCTTCCTACGAAGCCTGCCCGCTGGCCGCCAGCC